TTTAAATAGAAATAGAGCCATATGTTTAAATGTGCTGTTGTACTTAAGATGTATCAAAAACACATGTTTCCCCTCCATCCAACTTTCTTGTGATTTGCTTGAGTTTCACATAATCTAGGGCACTGTTCTTCCTCTTACAGTTCTCTCTAGGACAGCTTCAAGTAATGCAGTAAGAGCTGTGAAATTTTAATGAATACCCTATTAAGCAGTTTTCCTTCTGGTTGTTAGGAACTTGGACTTTCTTAAACCATGCAAAACTAGACAGTGTAAGTTTCACGGACTGTAAAGGTAGAACCTCTACCTCTGTTAGAAATAATAATCAAAATTTCTACCCCAGGGGCTTCCCTTGTCATGTAAAATTATAAATCAGTTGGAGATGTTGGGAAATTATGTCCAATTGGAAAACTCTGGACATTGCCACACATCATTCATAGCAGTAAATCTTACACGCGCGCACACACACACACACACCATAAAATAGGCTGAGGAATGATTCAAAATAACCTATATTGAGTGTACACATACAGATTGTCAAATGTGTCCTTTGCAGGGGAGGGGACCTTTAGTTATTTCACTCAAGTCTGATTCAGGAACATCCCAGATGCTACCGGTTTTTATAATGGAAGCCCACTTATTATGCGTTTGAAGTAAGATTGTCCACCACAGCTGGATTGCACATGAGAAATGTTGCAGGGAGAAATGAGGCTGTGCTGTACCCAGTTGGGCCTCAGAATATTCTCTCACCAGATGTGATATTTGTAAGTTGTATACATTGTATACATTTTTAATTCATTTTATATAAAGTTTATAAACGGATTTAATAAAATTCTTGTAAATTTTAAAAGTTTTAGGAAGAGGGGCATCTGGGTGGCTCAGTTGGTTAAGCATCTGCCTTTGGCTCGGTCATGATCCCAAAGTCCTGGGCTCGAGCCTCGCATCAGGCTCCCTGCTCAGCGAGGAGTCTGCTTCTCCCTGTGCCCCACCCCTGCTCATGCTCTCTCTCTCACCTGTTCTCTCTCTCTGTCTCAAAGTCTTTAAAAAAAAAAAAAAAAGTTTTAGGAAGAGATTGCTGAGATTGTTTCTCCTGTGAGTTTAACCCGCCTAGCAGACCAGTCTACAAAGACTGATTTGACGGGCACCTGGCTGGTTCACTGGGAGAGCGTGCAACTCTTGATCTTAGGGTTGTGAGTTCAAGCCCCATGTTGGGTGTGGAGATTACTTAAAAACAAAATCTTAAAAAAATAAAATTGACCAATAATTTGTAAAAGAAAGTAATGTTGTTAAATTATTGTCTCACTGAAATGTGATGGAAAACATGTATTTAAGTGTATCATATTTTTCTTTTTAAGATTTTATTTATTTGACAGAGAGAGACACAGCGAGAGCAGGAACACAAGCAGGGGGAGTGGGAGAGGGAGCAGCAGGCTTCCCGCGGAGCAGGGACCCCAATGCGGGGCTCGATCCCAGGACCCTGGGATCATGACCTGAGCCGAAGGCAGACGCTTAACGACTGAGCCACCCAGGCGCCCTAAGTGTATCATATTTTTCTGAGAAGTCTTTGTCTAACCTGGTGGAAGGTTCGGACCATTTGACAAAAGGTGGGAATTTGCTTTAGGACCCAGATAATGCCTAATTTCCCAGATCTGTGGTTCCTGCCCCCATATTCACTACAATGTACAAATGATATGCTCACACACGTGGCGGCATCGATAGACTGCAGGTGATGTGCACTTCCCAGTCGCTGGACCATATTTAACCTAAAAAGCGTGTTCAAATACAGATGATTGAGAATGATATTTTGATGGGAATAACCTTGAATGTGATTTCTCTTACTGTTACAAAGAAATCGTTTTTTTTTTAATGATAGTTTAAACTTTATAATCAATGCAAAAGATCTTGGGCTATATTTTGGAGATTTGCAAATTCACCACACCCAGGTTAATGCTTGGCCTCTGAATTAACATACTAATTTTGGAAGTGGTCAAAGGAAGCTTACCAGGAACCCAGCTGGGAGAGAAGGGGAAGGAAGGGAAGAGTAACGAGGCTGGAGAGATGGAGAACAAAGGGGAATGTGCTGCGGCGGAAATGTCAGTGTTATATACTTTTACACATACTGTAGACATTTTGTTACCATGTAGGTCCTTTTACAGCCCTGCCATTTTTTTAATTCTGCAGTTCTCTTTGTTGCATTTACTTGCATTATGAATCCTGCAAGACAGTGTGTAATTTTTGCTTTAAAATAAGCATGAAAAAATAGCCTTTTATGTGTACCCAGATACATCATGCATGAGGCATTTTGTTCCTTCCTAAAGTTCCCCCCGGTACCCTGTCCTTTTATTCTGAACTCCCTTTAGTATTTCTCGTCACCCAGCTCTGCTGGTGATGAATGCTTGGTTTTCTTTAATCTGAAACGCCTTTATTTCATCTTCATTCTTGAAGGGTATTTTCACCGGATATAGGATTCTGGGTTGACAGGCTGGTTTTTCTCCCCACTTAAAAGATGTCGGGCCACTGTTTCTGGTTACCATCGCTTTTGATGAGCAGCGCATGGCCACACGCTTATAGATGTGCACATTCTCTCTGCCTGCTTTCAGGATTTTTCTCTTTAGTTTTCCCAGCAGGAGGACTATGATGTCTCTAGACGGTTTTTTACGTGTGTGTATTTAACACATTTCAGGTTTGCTGAACATTTTTAGTCTGTAAATTTGTTTTTCACTAAACTTGGGATTTTTTTTTTTTTAAGATTTATTCATTTCAGAGAGAGAGCACAAGCATGGGGTGGGAGGAGAGGGAGAAGCAGGCTTCCTGCTGAGCAAGGAGCCCGATGCGGGGCTCGATCCCAGAATCCTGGGATCATGACCTGAGCCAAAGGCAGATGCTTAACCCCAGGCACCCCATCAACGTGGGATATTTCAACCATTTTTCAAATTTGTTTTTGGTTCCGTTTTCTCTCTCCCCACCTTCTGGAACTCCAAATACCATACATTAGAACTTTTGAAATTGTCCCACCAGTCCCTGAGGTATAGTGCATTTTTTAAATCATTTTTTTCTCTTTAAATTGGCTTATTCCTGTGCTTAGATCTTCAAATTCACTAATTTCTGTCACCATTCAGTTGTTAAACCCATCCAGCGGGATGGTATTTTGTTTTTGTGGGTTTTTTTAAGATTTTATTTATTTATTTGAGAGAGAGAAACCGCATGAGAGGGAAGGGGTCAGAGGGAGAAGCAGGCTCCCCGCTGAGCCAGGAGCCCGATGTGGGACTCGATCCCAGGATTCTGGGATCATGACCTGAGCTGAAGGCAGTCGCCCAACCAACTGAGCCACCCAGGCCCCCTGTTTTTTTTTTTAATTTGATATATTTCCCAATTCTTCTATTTTGTTCTTTTCATAGTTTCTGTTTCTCTTAGATTTCCTACGTTTTCATTGATTACAAGTGTATTTTCCCTTATATCTTCAAACATAGTTGTAACAGCTGCTTTAACATTGTGTCTGATAATTCCAACATCTGCAGTTGGAATTGGCATCGTTGGTTGTCTTTCCCTTGAGAATGGGTCACATTTGTACAAGTTGTATCATGGAGACCCTGAATCCTGTTCAATTCATCCAAGGAATGTTGATATTTCTCTTTTAGCAGGCAAGGAACTTGGTTGGATGTAATGTGAAAACTGCCTTGCAGTAGGTGGTAGCTCAAGCCTTCAGCCTGTGTTGTATTTAGCGGGGGTGTTTTGAACCTGCTCCTCACACGCATGGGTTAGGGCTTACCAGAGCTTGGGAAGAATTTATACCTAGAATTTAAGGCTCCCCTTTTCCAGCACTCTCCTTTCCAGGGTTTCCCTCAATTTTTCATGCCTCTGGTTGCCCCAGCTTTGTCCTCCATTTGATTGAGCCAAAACTCCCTGTGGGTTCCCTGTGTTTTAGCTTTCCACACCACATAGCAACTGTGATAGGCACTTTGACAGGCTAAAGCCCTAAAAAGCAGGAAACTTAGCCCGGGTTGGTCCCTTGTTCAAAATTTCAACTCTCCTCTTAAATCCTGCCCACTTCTCTTTACTCACCAGGACCTACCAGTGGTGATTTGCTTCTGTTTTGTCCGGAGTTTATAGTTGCTATCTGTAGGGGGTTGGTCTGTTAGGAGCCTACAACTTCATACCAGACACTTAAGATTTCCAGTGGAGATTTACATTTTGAACTGACGGCACCATTTCTCTTAGAATTGCCTGCTGTTGGGGCACCTGGGTGACTCAGTCGGTTAAGTGTCCAATTCTTGATTTTGGCTCAGGTCGTGACCTCAGGGTCGTGAGATCGAGCCCTGCATCGGGCTCCATGCTCCACTTTGAGTCTGCTTGAGATTCTCTCTCCCTCTCCCTCTGCCCTGCTCCCACATGTGCTCTCAACTCTCTCTCAAAATGAATGAATGATGAATGAGTGAATGAATGAACTGCTTGTTTGCTGTTTTTTTAATTCAGATATTTTAGATACCTTTCAGTACCTTATGTGGTACAGGTGTAAAGCAAGCACTCAAATGGGAGTCAGAATACTTGGGTCCCAGCCTCAGTCTTACTAATAATTAGCTATCTAATTATTATTATAATTAGCCATCATTATAATTATCTAGTTGTTAGCTAATTGTTAAAATTAGCAAGTCAGTGAATCCCTGGCTTGTAGGCTGAGGGGCCTGGAGCTTCAAAGTTCCTTTATATCCTGAGGCCTCTGATCATCTGATCTAACTATCTTGAAGTCTCTGCGTTAATCCACTTCATTGGATTCAAGTGATTAATTACACATATTATGTGATGAAAAAGGCGTCCCGCTATTGGAAGATGTGTCCATGTGCTATTGATAATATTTCCCCTTTTTATCTCTGCTTCCCTTAAAGCTACACAACCCCTTCTTTCCCTTAGGCCTCACTTTTCCCTGGGCACAAGTCATTCAATAACTAAAAAGAATTATATTTTTAATCTAACATCCCATTTAAAATACATTTTTGTTTGTCTCTTAGGAAAAAATGCTGCAAAGGGTATAAATTTGTTCTTGGACAATGCATCCCAGAAGGTATGTAATATAAGATTGTCTTCTCACCTTGTTTGTGACTAGTCGTTAGGTGTCTATAAAGTTCAGATGTATATAGAATGTGTATGTAATTTCAGGGTTTTTTTGGCATTAAATTCTTCTAGTGCCAATTTAGCTCCATGTATAATATGCTCTACCCAAATCATTACACAACTTATACACATATATTGAGCATCCTCAATATATACAAACAGTACACATGTATTTCAGGTTTTAAGCTCAGGAGGCTGTATTTCCCTAATCAGCATGTCATACACAGTTAGAACACAAGCATCCTCCCCACCTCTCTCTGCTTTTCATATGCTAAACTCAGAGCCCCTTCAAGCTCTGTGCTCAGCCCAGCACTGAGGAGACAGAGCAGTGTCAGACCTGGGCCCAGTCCTCAAAGCCCACACCCTCAAGCTGGGGAGACAGGATACAGACAAGCATGAAATCAGAGATACCTGAATTTTTTTTAAAGATTTTATTTTTATTATTTATTTGTCAGAAAGAGCGAGGGGGAGCACAAGCGGCGGGGGGGGGGAGTGACAGGCAGAGGGAGAAGCAGACTCCCCGCTGAGCAGGGAGCCCAATGTGGGACTTGATCCCAGGACCCTGGGATCATGACCTGAGCCAATGGCCAAGGCTTAACCAATTGAGCCACCCAGGCATCCCAAGAGACCTGAATTTTAATAACACGTTCCATATTGCCTTAGTCCATTCTGGCTGCTATAACAAATACCATAGTCTGGTGGCTTAAACCACAAAAGTTTATTTCTTTTATAGTTCTGGAGGCTAAGTCCAAGACCAAGACCCTGGAAAACGCCATGCCTGGTGGGAGCTTCCTGGTTCATAGATAGCCACCTTCTTGCTATGTCCTTTCATGGCAGAAGGGACAAGAGAGCTCTCTGGGGTTTCTTTTTTTTTTTTTTTTTTTTTTTAAGATTTTATTTATTTATTTGACAGAGACAGAGATAGCGAGAGCAGGAACACAAGCAGCGGGAGTGGGAGTGGGAGAGGGAGAAGCAGGCTTCCCCCCGAGGAGGGAGCCAGATGTGGGACTCGATCCCAAGACCCTGGGATCATGACCTGAGCCGAAGGCAGACGCTTAACGACCGAGCCACCCAGGCGCCCCTCTGGTGTTTCTTTTATAAAGGCACCAAGCCCCTTCGTGAGGACTCTGTCCTCATGATCTAAGCCCCTCCCAAAGGCCCCACCTTCTCAGACCATCACCTTGGAGGTTAGGATTTCAACATGTGAATTTCAAGAGGACAGGAGGATTCAGTGCATAACACACACATCCTACCTTAGTCTTTGTGGGAAAGTATTAGTACTTGACTCATGGTTGTTTTAAGAATCTTAACCGCATGTGAGGTACTTGGAACAGAAGCTGGCTCTTATTAAGTGCTTGATAAATGGTTCCTGCTGTTGTTTTTAATAATGACCACAACATGTGTGGTAGAGGCATTCAGAGCAGAAAGTGTCTGGAGCAGGCCCGGGGCACAGAGGACCCAGGGCAGTCTGAGGTGATCTCAGGAAGGAGGGGGAGCCGGCTGATCAAGGAAGGCTGCCAAGGACCTGGACAGGTAGGAGGAAGAGAGCTGCAAAGGATCCCAGCGCTGATCCAGAGAATGCTAAGAACTGTTCGGAGAGTGTGAGATTAGTTGGCCTGGGGCCGGGGAGAGGTGGGTGGGTGGGTAATGAGAAATAGGTTTCTTCACTGTCAACCAAGAAGTCAAGCCTTTGCAGAGAACCAGGAGTGCAGCCAAGGCAATTCATGTTGCATTATCGCATAGAGAGCGGTTTTTTTGTCTCAGTTAGAAATCAATGAATCCCCCCTGCGTATTGCTCTCTTCGGTGCAAGGGTGGAAGAGTTCACTAAACCATAGCTGGGACCTTTGAGAAAGCGGCTTTAGGAAGGTTGGTTAGGAAATCACTTTACATAAGATGGTTTATGTGGCCTTGGGCCTCTCTCAGACTAAATTTCTCACTGCCAGCCAATTCTGTTGGCTAGAGCATGGTGGAAAAAACCCACAAAGAAAAAACCCACAAAGGTCAAAATAATTGCGTTCTTTTATAAGCCAGCTTTTCTCAGTCTGCAGCTCTGTCCTTTATATTTCAATTTGGCGGATACTAAGAAAACTAAGTTTAGGCCAGTCGATTTAAGATCCCAGCTAAAGACCTTGCCCAGCCTAAATAAAAACACATTACATGGGTACCACATACTTAGGCTTTCTTGAAATGTTGGGTGTTGTGGTTTCGAACATCAGAGCCTAAAGGTAGCCTCCCGTCGCCCTCAGTGGGGCCTGTGACACTGTGATTAACAAAGCCTTGCTCTAACTAGCAGGCTGCTCCGTTGCTGTCGCTAGAACACTGAAGTCTTTCAATCTGTGGGAAGAAGTCTGTGTGCATGGGCTTCTTACTAAAGATCTCTACAGTCATAAAGATTTCCATGAGCAGGAATGCAACATAGAAATGTGGAAAGTCAGAAAAGATAGTATATTCGTTAGGATTGTCCAGAGAAGCAGAGAGAGGTTTCCTTAAAGGAATTAGTTGACAGGCTTGTGGAGGCAAGTCAAAAGTCCGCAGGATAGGCCGGAAACCCAGAAGCAAGGTAACGGTCGGAGTCAAAAGGTCGTCTGCTACCAAAATTCCCTCTTCCCTGGGGGAAGTGTTTTTTCTAGTAAGGCCTTCAACTGATTGAAAGGGGCCACCAACATTTTGGAGGGCAATCTGCTTTATTCAGACTCTACCAAATTAAATGTTGATCCCATCTAACAAATATCTCCACAGAAACGTCTAGAATGTCCTTGACCAAGTATGTGGGTACTGTGGCGTCTCCACATTGACACATAAAATTAACCATCACAGATAGTAAAGGGACTAGAATTTCTAAACAAATGTGCTGAGGAGAAGGTGCAATTTAAGAGAGTGTTGCCTCGTGTTTGTTACTCTAAGTCAAAAGTCAACCACCTGTGGCCAAATCTGACCCACCGCCTGTTTTCATAAATAAAGTTCCATTGAAACACAACCATACTCATGCACTTAAGTATTATCTACGGCTGCTTTTGCCCTACCACCGCAGAGGGGAGTAGTGGTTGCCAACCAGATCTACTCTGCCAAGCCCTCTGCTGTATTATTTTGATTTGCCAGGTGATAGAATAATCTCATTTGTCCTAGCTCAACAGTTATTAATTGAGCATAAGCTGTAGGAAGAAAGTAGTGCCAGTTAGTCCAAGGGACACCGTCCTTGCCAGATACCCAGACAGTAGTAAGAGCTAGTAATAAAGGCAACAGAAGAGCAGGTTAAGCTTTACTGTGTGTCGGGCCCTGTGCTTTAAGGCATCATCCAAGTTAACCTTCATAAAAGCGCCAGAAAGTCGTCATTACTGTCACCCCTATTTTATAGGTAAGAGGATGAGACTTACAGGACCCGAGGTCACAGACGACATAGTAGCAGAGTTCGGAGGGCTGGCTCTGGAACCCATACTCTTCACCATAAGGCTGCATGCCTCCTAGCCGGGGACAGAGTAGGCATTCCACAAATAAGGCAGAACACGGGAGTAAGAGAAGAGTATAGAGCACAAAACATGGGCTGCCTAGGGGCACCTAAGCGTCTGCCTTCGGCTCAGGTCATGATCTCAGGGTCCTGGGATCGAGCCCCATGTCGGGCTCTCTGCTCAACAGGAGTCTGCTGCTCCCTCTCACACTCCCTCTGTGCTCTCCCTCTCTCAAGTAAATAAAGTCTTCAACAACAACTACACTGGCTGCCTAGAGGTGATATTTAGTTGAGGAAACCATGTTTGACTGGCAGGAAAGTAGACCTGGCATCACAATTACAGGGGAAAGGATTTAGCAGGGGCAGCTTTGCAGGTCCTCATGAGAATGGCATGATCCTTGCCCCACGGACACCGTCTGCATCGGAGCTAAAGACAGACCGACCCACCCATTCCACCTTCCTGTGCGGCGGAGCAAAGCCGGGTTTACTCTGCGTCCGAGGATCATTTATCTGTCAGCACCTAGGGAAGATAGCTCAGTGATTGAGATGCTGGATCTAGTCTGGAGGTGAATGTGCAGCCTGAGCTCCTGACTCCGAGCCAAAGTCCCTTCAGAGGCTTGTTAAGTATCCGTTTGTAAGGACTGGGAGGAGGAGAGGCTTTAATTCTTTTCAAGTAAGAGGGCATCCAGAGACCTCCAGCTGCTCCCAGCCCCTCCTCAGCATGCAGGATACACACACGCACGCACGCACACACATGCCCCAGCCCTGCCTCACTCGCACCAGCTCTGTTCCAAAGCCTCCCTCACGCTCCTCCTAGCCTGCGTGACTTCCAGCCGTCGCACTCACACGATGGTGCCCACACCCCTCACCAGGCCGGCTGTTCTTTGGTGTTCATCTGGAAGGAATTCCCTGTCTCTACCGCGGGTACTGCTGCAGGGCTGGGGCATCCAGAGCATCTTTGCTTCCCAGATGAGTGGCAGACCCCAGCGGATGAGGAGGTGACCGGGGGAAAATCACAGGGGATGTTTGCCTTCAACCACGGGCCGGGCTGAGCACCAAGTTCCCCGACGTAGTACTTTTAAAAGGTGGCCCATGGCCCAAAGGGTTAACACCCTTCTAAACGCAGCCGGCCACCCTTCCCCATTCTTGAGCAGGGTGCAGCCCCGGAGGTCTGTTCCAGACCCGGGCCCCGTGTCACCGCCCCCGTGTGCTGAACGACGGTAGCTGACGTGAGCTCACCCTTGTCTTTTTCAGATTACGACGTGTGTGCCGAGGCTCCCTGTGAACAGCAGTGCACAGATAACTTCGGCCGAGTGCTGTGCACCTGTTATCCAGGGTTCCGGTACGACCGGGAGAGACACCGGAAGCGCGAGAAACCTTACTGCCTGGGTGGGTTGGCGACACACTAATGTCCCAGCTCCTGGGATCGTGATTCTGTCCTTTGTTGGATACTCTCCATCCGTGGGGCCAGCTCCCCAGAGCTGCTTTGACCTTTGTTTCTCCCCTTATGTCCCGGTGCTCAGATAATATCATGCCAGCCGTCACTGCCTTGATCAGACCAACCTCGGCTGAGGAATTCTTCAGGGAGCTGGTACCAGTCAGATCCTAATAATAGGCAGTGAGATCTGAGAGCAGGAGAAGGGGAGCATTATCAAAGCGAGAACAATGTCAAACAGAATATAAGTGGGCAGAAACGTCAAAACACAGAAGCACGAGACTCCACGGTCCCTCGGAAGGCAAGGCGGAGAGGCTGGGAACGAGGAAGGGCCCATGTGGCAGGCAGATTGGAAGTGAGTCAGGGAGCTGAAGCCAGCCACCTGGACTGTGCTGAGCGAGCTCAGCACCTGCCCTCGCCACCGGCGGGGTCCTCCCCGCACTGGCTGGGCTGTGCAGCCATGCCCTCTTTGTGTTCCTAAGACAGGGTGATGGTAATTGTTCCCTGGAGCCACGTGTCTCCAAGAAACACTGGGGGTCTTGTTTTTAGAAAAGATTCCTGGCCTCGCCTCCAGAGCCTGAGGGCGGGTCCAGAAATCTGCATTTACAGAAACGTCTCTAGTGACCCCCGTGCACAAGCGAGTTTGAGAAGCCCCTGGAGGATGAACTGAGGAGCCGGGCACATGGTCCCAAGTGGAGAATAAGCGAGCTGTGATGAGCGGCCCCTCCTCCTCTGTCCCAACTGGGGCTCTAGAGAGCGCCATTGAAGAGAAGTTCTAGCTATTAACCTCCTAGCTTCTCCCCAGTGGCACCTGTGGGGGCACCCCACACTGACAAGAGGACTGAGGCCACTAAGTGGACCCAGGACCATTGGCGCCTCCTACAGAGAACGGGGCGCGCCAGTCTGTCTCTCTGAGGTCCCGGGCGCGGGGGCTCTCCTTTGAGTTTGTGGTAGCTGCAGTACTCTGTGCTTCCCATTTGGGGATCCACAAAACTAGCATTCTGTTAAGAATTCCATCTGCTTCTCTCCTTTCAACCTCCTCCTCCCTCTGGACAATAGGGGCAACTTCACCCTTGGGTGTAGGGCAGAGGCACGTGAAGAAAGGTGTTCAGCCTGAGGAGTTGCAGAGGTGAATGCAGCTGAAGCACTTAGTCCACAGGTGACACGGTGCATATTACCAGGGGAACGTCCGAATGACCACACTCCCGGGGGCCCCCAGGGGCCTGCCATACATGGGGGTCTGCCAGAGGTGGGTCCCGGGCCACTGGTCCAGAGTAGCTGGAACGTCCGCATCTTGAAGTGCAGGGCTGAGCTCTGTCTGCCTCCCACATGTACACGGTCAGGACTGAGTATCGTGTTCCCCTACACACACACACACACACACACACACACACCCACACACACACCCACACACCCACACACCCACCTGATGTCTTCAACCAGTGAGCAGGAAACAGACCCGGGCGGCCTCCTCTTCCCCTGGTGGGAAACACTTTTGTTTCCACCCCATTCCGCAGGGGAGCAAGTCTGTGATGTGCACGGTTTATGGGGACTCTGGTGACTTGTTTGGTGGTCTCATGGCTCGTTTCCACAGCTCATGGGCGGTCTGTCTGGGTCATTGATGACACCGAGATTTCCTGGGGAAAACTCTCCATTAGATTCATCGTGACTATTTTCTTTCGCTAGAAGTGGCTTTTCTCAGGTTTCATTACATCTCTTCACTGGGAAGGAGCCATTCCTAACTGACCTTGGGTCACCATCCTGCCGCTCTGAACCTAGAGCCGTAAAGGGGGCGGGGGAGGGGGGCATAAAAACCCTCAGCCCACTCGGGTCCTTGCAGAAAATCATGGCTCTGATGCGTGCTTTTCGAAGTGTGTTGCTATCTGTCAACTCATTTCCTCTTCTGAGGAGCCCAGCCAAGTATTTCGGCCCGGCGACCTTATCAAGTCTTGTAGATGGGCATTTCGAGGGCTGGCAACGCCTGCACCAGGCCACATGACTTGGCAGTGGCAGATCCCGTCCCTGATCAGCTTGCCACCGTGGCGACACGGCCTGAGGCACTCCGGGCGCGCTGGCTCATCACCTTCTCTGATCGAGGCTGGCAGAGGGTCCTTCGCAGACCTTCATGGGAGGGCCACGCTGAATGTCACCTGTTGTGAAGAGCGTCCTCTGAAACGGAGCATTCTCTGCCTTTGGTCCAAACCCAGATATCGACGAGTGTGCCACCAGCAACGAGACGCTGTGTGCACACACGTGCATCAACACCGTGGGCAGCTACCGCTGTGAATGCCGGGAGGGTTACATCCAGGAGGACGACGGGAGGACGTGCACCAGGGGAGACAAATACCCCAACGACACTGGTGAGTGGGGCAAGCGATGTGCGCCCATAGGTCGGCAGGCCCTTGGGAGCCCACCAGGGCTTTCAGCCACTGACATTAATTCGTGGGCCAACTTGAAAGTGAGCACAAGAAAGGGAGCAGTGGGGGCAGGAAGGGGCGTTTGCATGAAGGGCAGGTGGGATCTGGGTTAAGAGAGGGGTAGGACATAAGGTCGAGCCCAGTGGAGCAAAGCCTGCCAGCAGCGAGGGTTGCGAGTTCGTGCGTATTTGCAGAAGCTCCCCACCAAGTGGAGGTGGTGCTGTGCTCGAGCAGAAATCAGTAGAACTTAGCTAGGTGCTTGGACCACCCTCAGATGAGCAGAGCAGAGGCCAGAAACCCTGTGTTCTCTCAGAGAATGGGTTGAACATCGATAGGAAAAATGTCCATGTCAGGTAACCGTGTACATCAATGCTGCTTAACGTGTAGTCCATGCAGGAACTCTTTGTTACTTGGTTCATGATTGCATGAAAACAGAAGTCAAGTGTTCAGACATTTTTATGCCCATTGGAGAGACATTTTGTCTAAATCCAAAGATCAGCACTTGTATTTTGTCGCCTTTTTCTAGTCATTGGTTTTTATTGTGTTTTGCAAATACAGTCCACAGTGAAGTGAAACAGCGTTAAAAGCTGGCATTCACAGAGTTTGAGAAGCTCATCTATGTTATGTCAACCCAATTCAACTGATATGTCTGTCACTGAGGGATACGATCAGCCCAAATATTGGATCGCCCCCTTAAGTTTGGAAGACGGAACCCTTGTGCTCCTGTACCCAACACTCATAGGCCAGGAAGCTGCTCCCATCTTCCTGTGCTCGGGGCATAGCTCTTCCCCACCCCCCTTGGGAGGGGACAGGATGCTGTCTGTCCAGAGAGGCTGGCTGGGCCTTGGACCATCTCTGATTGGGGAGGGGGTCCTGGGCAAATCACCTGTGCCAAGAAGGCAGGGAGCTGGGAAGGCTAAACGGTCTGGGCACTCGGGAAGTGGTGATTCTTGTGTGTAGCCTGAGATTTCTACAAGGAGTGGAAGACAACTGCCATCAGCTGAGGATGGCAAACAGCTGGGAGACAGCTGCCTCATATGGAAGAGCTACAAAGCAAAATTCTGAGAACAAGGGGTTGAGTCAGGAGGAAGCCACCATATATTAGAAGTAGATGCAAAATGTGCTTGGAACCAGCACAGGATTGGGCAATCTGGAATAATGTGAATGAATCAGAGGGCTTGGTCTAAAGCACCTCTTACAGTCTAAAGCACGTGGGGCCTACATGCCTAGAGGTGCTTAGAGCAGGGGTGAACAGTCTTTTGGGCAGAAGCGTGGATTGAGGAAAAATGTTTGCAGGCCTTTTTTTTTTTTTTTTTAATTCAAAACTAAAATCACTTTATTTTTGTCCCATGGTGGAGAAGGTGGGAGAGGGGCCGCGTGTGTAACTTACCTATTTGATTGTCTCCTTTATTGAGAGGAATTAATCCTTTGAAAACTGAGGTGCAGCCTTTTAGCCACTGACATTAATTCGTGGGCCAACTTGAACATTAGCCACGAGAAGGCAGCTTCCTAAGTTTTCATGTTGGAATTGGATTTGCAGCTATGCTCTGAGCCGGGAAGTCCAGGGGCTGTGTGAGCGACTCAGCCTGCCAACTCCATTGTCTCTTTGCCTTACATTTCTGTTCAGATGAAACCTGTTGACTTGGGCATGAAGGGCAGCGTTGAGCAACCCAGTCTAGACCTTAACCATCAGAAACCGCAACCACAAACGCTTACTGCTCGAGTGACGGGTGGGATTAGATAGGAGGGATCCCTAAATAACAGGACGTGGCCTCACCCCTGAGCAGTTCCCACCTGGTGGGGGCAGGGTGGTCTGCCTTGGGACCCGGCCTTTAACTCAGAGAACCAGAGAAGCTGGTTGGAGCTTCCAGAGACAGTGTAAGAGTTTTCCACTGAAATGTACTTGTTCTTTGGTCTCGGATGGCCTCCCTGTGTTGAGTGGTACCCTAGGGAGGGCTCTTGTTTGAGCATAGTGATAAGGTGGGCCCGGTGGGAGGCACTCACCTCCTGCCTCGTGCTTTGGCCGTGTAGACCTGCCCGGGGGCCCAGGTACAGAGTCGGGGCCCAAGAAGTTCTCCTTGTGTCTCTGAAGTTAGCAGTCTGTTGTGTTAGGTCAGTCCTCGGACCATAGTCTTCTGCTTCCTTCCCTGAGAAATGAATTCTACTACTTAAACGTTTTTAGGGTAACACACAAGAAGTTTCAGTGTGAGAGAGCAAGTTCAAGAGATCAGCAATTTTACTTCAGTGATGAGCAGTTTAACTTCTCTGGCTGAGAATTCTGGGGAAAACTGAAGTGCTTGTAATGGTAAGGGATATAGATAGGCAACTTTTTTTTGCACCTTCTCTCTTAGTCCTTTCATTTAAAGATGACCTATTTTCTCTCGACCGTTTATTACAGCATGTCCCCACATTGTGTTCTACAGAGCTTTGGGGTCTTGTGAGCTGCAAATAAGCCTTTCTCCAGAAGCATCTGGGTTCAGATGTTTGGGGAAGAACATGCTACTGCACCCACTTTAAGGGTTCATGGGCCACGTGCGTGAATGGCTCAAAGAGATTGCCTTTTTCAAAAATGTTAATTTTGATTAAGCCTGAATTTCCCCAAATTATTTTCTTAAGAAAGGCCTATAAACATCTCGCAGACAAGAGTATCCTGAAAAATAGAATTTGGAAAATGCTAACTTATTAACATCAAAAGCCTGAGCTCGGGGGTTGAACTTGGTAGGTCGTCTGGTTGGCTTTCAGGCAAAGACGCCTTCGCTAGATGAAGCAGCCAAAAGCCCAGAGTGAAGCCATTTGCTGTGGATGGCGGAGCATCTGATGAACGAAAACAGGACAGGAGTCCTCCATCCTGCCATACCGAGAGACCGTTTGTTCCTGTTTACAGGGAAATCAGTGGGAGAGGTCTTTCTGTTTAATTAGTAAGAACGGTCTGGTGGTTCTACTGTTGAGGTTTATTGTCACACAAAACTCATTTACAGATGAGCCTAGACTGCAAATTCCCTTTCTCCTCTCTCTCCATCCTCCTCCTCATAGAACAGCTACAAATAGTTTAAAAAAAAAAAACAAAAAGCTGAACAGCACTGTCTGTTGAATCGCACTCCCCTGCCGCCGGCAGCAGCTTTAGACAAAGAATTTCTCAGTATTTTTCAGTCCCCGGTGTCCATTGAATTCACCACACACGCACACAGGACGAGCATTTGGTTTTAGTGTTTTGCTAAGAAAGACATTCCAACACCAGTAACCAGGGACGTCCGGAGGGAAGGGACAGAGAGGAGGAATCCAGACCCATAATTAAAATTGGGAGCAAGGACGCCCTGAATGTGAGAGTCATAACTTAAGCGACGGGCCACCGAGGAGGTGGGGGGATGACTTTGATGGTGCTGGCAACAAAACGCAAGCACCCTAGAGGCATTTCTTGGACAACCGGGAGGCCGTGGAAAGTTCCTTGGCTGGGGGGCTAGGATTCTGGCAGCCAGAGCTGCGGAGCATTAACCGCTGGGGGTCGTGGGGCAGGTTCCGGGCCCCAGCTGCCTGCTCTGCGGGAGGAGCAGGAATGTGGGACTGGACAGCTCTCAGGACCCTCGCGCCCTCCCGCGTCTCTTCCACAATGTGCTGGGATGTAGCGTGAGTAACCGAAGCCCGACCGGCCCTGCGAGCCCTGGTGCAGTCCTCATCTCTTGCTCCTCCATCTAAATGAGCACCAAGGCTCCGAGACCTGCCCAGCTTCACCACCTAAGCCGAGAACTTTCCTTACAGCATCTAAAAGATGATTCGTGAACATCCAGATACTCGGCTCAGCAACTGGAAAAGTTAGGGGCCAGGCGAGCCAGCTAAGCAGCTTCATCTGTTTTGGACTAATGAATAAACCTAATATTTCATTGTGATTATTTTTTTGTTGAAGAGATAATGGGTTTTTTTTTTTTTTTTTTACATAATGATAATTGAATGTAAACATGTGGGATCTAAAATCTCCTTTCCCCCTCCTCTTTTTTTTTTTTGAACTTTGCATTGTCCAGTGTCTGACGTTAGAGTCAGAGGAATTTACAGTCAAACCCAGCCTCAGCTCGCTGTGAGAAGAGCGGGTGGAGAGCAGTTGGGGGGTGAAAGGTTGCCATGCGCCCACGGGCATGGTGGCGCGAGCCGTCTGGCTGCTCAGCAAGCAGGGCCCGCTCGGTCACTTGCTTGCTTTGAAAATATGTCACTGGAACCAGCTTAGATACTCCAGGGAGTCTGTGTAGCACTGATGGGGAGACAAATTAAGGACATGATGGCTCCGTAGTAATGAGCTTACTGCTCTATTTTGCAACTTGTGTTTACTTTCTGATAGAGCGACCATGACCCCCGGCGTCCCTTACTACAGTTCAAAGTGTTGGGGGCGGCCAGGTGTTTCGTGTAACTTTCAAGCTCCACTAATCCCTAGATCAGTGGTTCTCAGCCTGGGGAGCTTTAAAAATTGCCAATCCCGTTCCCTGGCTGCAACCCCCAGATGCAACATAATGGGATTTTTTTTAACCACCCCCCCCCCGCCCCCAAGTGGTTATAATGTGCCGTTAGCATTGAGAACTGCTTGCCAGGGCACAAACTTGCACAGTCACCTTTTAAAAACAAACATGTTCTGTTCGTTGGTGACATTGCCCATGTGCAATGTGTTGGGAACATCCTTTAGTTTCTGAGTTTATTGAAATACTACTAATACAGTATCTAAGGAATTCTATTTCTAATGCTTTGGGATATAGATCCTGCTCGACGTTAGTAAAAATTAGAGCTCTATGCCCCCATGTGGCTAATCAATAATAATGCGCCTTTAAAATCTGAACTGGTTGGAGCAAAATGTTGGGTAATCCTTCGCTTAACATGAGCATGGTCACGGTTCGAGATACTCAGTGACTATAGCATGAATTGAGAGGACTGAAAACATGCAAGATCAGAGATGTCTCCCCAGATTTCTAAATGAATTATTAACGTAGCATACACGAGATTGTTTTAGCTGCAAGTTTGACATTACTGTAGACAAATTGCAAGATAGATGAGCCCCGATTCAGAACAGATTGCATGTTCCAGGCCTGCACACACAATTTATCTTCCAACTGTCTGAGAGCTCTTTCCAAAGGATGATGTAAAGAACCCTATCCCACATCTGTTATTTTGTAGGGAACTTAATACCCCCAATAATAACATTTATGGAGCACTTGCCATATACTGGGCACTGGTCTAGGAACTTACGGGTCTTATTTCATTGCTACTACGGTGGTTACCCAGGTGATAAATGCGTTTGTCATTTTACTGTTGGAAGAACACACCCAGAAGCTGTGGCTTCCAACCTAAAGGATACTAATTGGCAGCATCAGGATTTAAATCCTGATCATCTGACTCCACCAGAGCCTCTGTTCCCTGCTACTCTGTTACTCCATGCCCATGAATGGACACAGTTAATCCTTGTGTCTGTGTTCTGATGATTATACAAAGGGACAGAGAACAGACCAGGCATTTTCAGGTCAAAGTCCCTCCGCGGAGCTTACTCCCCAGAGCAGTGACAGCTGAGCAGCATGCATGTGCTTCAGAGTCCCTTGGAGGGCTTTGGCATAACTGTGCACTAGGCCCCGCTCCCAGGATTTCCTATTTTTGAGAACAGGTGCCCAGGCAGTGATGGTGCTGCTGCTGGTCTGGGGGTCTCACTTGAGGACCACTGCCCCGGAGTCTGCCTGCCAGAGAGCACCCGGGTATCCTGAACAGAACCCCCGGTAGCCGGCTCCCTGCACCCCCACGATGCCAGGTTCAGGACCTGGGAGCTCCCAGCCTGCGTACACAGCACGCTGGAGGACCTAGAGCAAGTCACTTTCCTTATCTATAAAGGAGATTGAACCCAAAATACATCACTTCTAACACTCCCTGATCTAAATGAAGTAGAGTCTAGAAGCCAGTAGGGAGGTTTATTCTTACCGTGAAAATATCAAGTTGCCTCCATCACACCAACGCTTGGAAAATTTAACCGAGTACGTAGAAGCAGAAATGGGAAGATGGGCTTCTAACTCTGGTTCACGATGGCCTGGCTCTGCCAACAGGGCTAGTTCCTTACAAAGGTCAGCTGCAAATTGTTAAACAGGTGTCCTCATCTGTTTTGCACTCTTATTGCCTCACATGGCCTGGCAAATAGCAGAAGCTCCAAAGGTGGACAAGAGGGAGAATGGGGAGGGAGGGATGAGCGAGAGAGGTGGGTTACGGGATGGGATTATATAATTCGACCAGTAGATGAGATGGAACGGATGAATGCTAGGTTGGCAGAGATGAATGTCCTCCAGCTGTCCTTCAGTGCTGACAAAACTAATAAACCTGGAGTGGGGATCCTCTATTTATGCAGGGGTCTGCCATTCCCTGCCATCAACACAACCGGATGTGGTAAGGCTTCAGTTCTTCACCCAGTGTAGTCTGCATGGAAATGCCCTTGTATTATTCAGTTATGTTAGAGACGGATCTAAGTAACTCTGGTCCTCCTCACATGAGCCCAAGCTCTGTAGGCAAGTAGGACTGTAAATTGGTACATTAAACTGGGATAAAGAGCCCAGAGGAAATAGCCAGAATTGTAGAAAAGGTGTTGGACTCAGATTCGGGAAACCTCAGTTCTAAACCCACATCAACCAACTTGCGAGATGACTTTCAGATACCAAATGTCAGTTTTGCCTCATTCTGTTCATGTTAATACTATCCTTCAAGAATTCTGGGGTTCTCAGGCAAGAGCAATGCAAAGGGCTTGGTGGGTCTGAAGACTGTGCCAGGCACTGTTTCCCATTTATTACTGGCAGGTGGCATGCCCACTCTTTCACAGGCCTTACCTTCATTTAATCATCATGGTAGCCCTGGGCCGTAGGAATTATTCTTCCATTGTTATGGTTAGGAATTAGGGCTTATCGAGGTCAGATAACTTGCCCAGGATTCCGGAGCTCGTCAGTGACAGCTGAGCTGTATAGCCAGGACAATAGCACTTGGCAGACCACACTCCTAACCAATCCACTTAACCTCCTCCAAGCAGAGACCTTCCCTAGCCTCATAATTCAACTCAGTATTACACAGCTGCAATGTGAGTCAACCTCACCCCGCAAGTGTACCTGTTGAACATGCTATCAGTGGGAAGCCGCTGATAAGACAGCTAGCCTAGGAAGTGGGAATGAGTGAGGTGGTCATGTTATACTGCGTACACATAGGTGGATTTAGAGACTGCCGTTGTGGCATAGATCCAGGTGCTTTTTCCAGGCATTCAAAACCTGAGCTATAGGTCGACCCTGTCGCTTATGGTAACTTAGAGATGGAGACCTGCTTCACCCACTTGAACCTGCTGGCTTGAGAAGTGTTCCCAACGTGGGTCCTCCAATCCATAGGCCTCCCGTGACGTGCAGGGATGGGGTGTGGCAGGTGAATAGCCAGAGATCTCAGTTGTCAAGTTGCCCCCAGGCCCCCCTCCCCTCCCCAAAGAGCAGAAACACAGGTCACCATGTAGATCACCAAGTAGGGGACTGATGCCCTTGGAGAAATCAGTGCGCTGCGTGAGGAAGTTTCATGTGAGCATGGGGCTCTCCTGATGCCCAGCACGTCTATCCGTTCGCTCCTTCTGTCATAGACTGCCACCAGCTGGGTGGCTTAAAGGATAGAAATGTATCCTGTCTATTCTGGAGGCCACAGGTCTGAGATCAAGGTGTCAGCAGGGTTGGTTCCTTCTGAGGGCCATGCAAGAGAATCTGTCCCATCCACCCCGCCCCCTGCTTCTGGGGGCTTTGCCAGCAATCTTTGGCATTCCTTGGCTCCTACCCTATTACCTGACCTCTGCCTTCATCTTCATGTGGTGGTCTCCCTGGGTGCGCATCTATATCCTGATGTCTCCTTTTTATAAGAACACCGGTCATGTTGATTATGGTCTCCGCCCTGTGACAGTAGAACTTCATCTTATTACGTCAATGACCCTATTTCTGAATAAGGTCACATTCTGAGGTACTAGGGATTAGGGCTTCAACATACGAATTTTGGCAGGAAAACAGTTCAACCTATGACGCTCTACTTCACACGTAGTGTGTGTCCACTACGTGAGCGACCAGAAATTCCAGTTCTTAGGTGGCTTACGCTCTGGTGTAGGTAGAGTAGCCTCTCCGTGGGGAAGCTTAGAACACCGCCATTTGAGAGGACACGTGGTAAATGCTGGCTGACCTCAGGACCGCGGTCTCTCCGTAGAGAGGACAGGCTTTGTGGAACATCTGACCTAGGTCTGGATAGTTGATGGGTTTCCATGAATGGAGACAGCACAGAGGGCTTCCCAGAAGAGGGGGGAATAAGATAAAGCACATGAGCCAAGGAGGACAAGAAATGGCTTAGAGGGACATTCCTTGGCTGTCCCCAGTTGCATTCCAGACAGCCCTGGTGAACATTGGCCCTTGGATGGGGGTATAAATCATGTCAGGTTGGTAGATCCCACCTCCTAAGAAGCACTGACGAAAGGGCCGTGGTTCCCCTGTTCACACATGAAAGAGGAAGATCCCGGGGTGCCTGAATGGGAACAGCTGAAGACAGAGCACTGCGGGCCTGGGCGGGGGTGGGGGGCGGGAGGTGCTGCCTCCATCTCTGCCCTGACCCGGGAGTGCAGTCAGTGACCTGAGAACCGTAAAATCGCCGGCCTCCCTCACACGTCCCGCTGTCCGCGGGTCCTCCGGGGACTGCCAGTTGCGAGGCTGTCTTTCTGGGGTCCGGACGGCCTCCAGCCTCCCCAACCCACCCGAGCCCGTCCCCTCGCGCAGGGCATGGCGAGAAGTCGGAGAACGCGGTGGAGGCCGGAACCTGCTGTGCCACGTGCAAGGAGCTCCACCAGATGAAGCAGACAGTGCTGCAGCTGAAGCAAAAGGTACGTGCCTGCTCGGCTAGAGACAGTCCCGCAGTAAGAGGGCTCAGCAGAGGGGAAAAGGCAGAATGTGGAGAAACGAGAAAAATGAGTTGTCACGCACGACCTCTGTGAGCGTTCATGGAGGTGGGTACCAGCTGGGTTGGCACCCGGGCTTGGCTTCGCCCGCCCACCCTCAGAGCTGCTGTTGGAAGGGCAATGAGACGATGAAGGCAAGAAAGGGATTGATTAGGTAACTGTTAAAGCAGGCCATGAGGTGAGGGGCGTGTGGCGAAACTGTCCGGAGGATGAGCTAGGACTGTTGAAACTTTTGGTAAAACGTCCAGACACATGGTCCTGGGGCAGACGTACACAGTTCTATTTTAGCTAATGTTTTGGTGATGTTTTTCGACCGAGAACGTCCTGTCTATAAACATCCATAAGCTGATGATGAATTTCTGTAGCAGCTTTATTTTTCCCATTGGAAAGCAGCCTCGTGTCAACAACAACGAGGGCTGACTCACTTTATAAAAGGCTCCCACGCAAGCCTCAGAGACTCTCAGATTTCTAGTAACATTGTTAGGCCGTGAGTAATGCCCCTGTGATAGATCTGGGGACCTGATTTCTTGAACAACTGTTCTGGATCCAGATCGATGGTATTTATCATGCCTCAGTTCAGTTATTTTGCCAGCAACTCAGAAATTGCTCTTACACTGATAAAACATATACTTACTGGTTTGTTTAATCGCTTCTGCCCAAGGCTCTTAGCACACCAAAGAGGCGTATATAATCTGTTTAACTTTGTTATTCTAAAGGGCAAAGGGTAAGCATAAGACAATATTGCTTTTCCATGTTCAACAAACATTCAAGCAACCCTTAATGAGAACCACAGCTACGAGCAGATCAATGGGCAGAGAAGAAGAATGGCTTTGCTGGTCTTTCATATGTTGTTGGCAAAGATCTATATATGTATCCTGTAATCACGATCCTAAGTAGTCTGTGATCCAATGATAGGGAGAACGGGCGGAACACTTTGTAAGCATAGCACATAAACATATCCCACACATACCCTCAGGTTAAACTTGGATTGATGTTAATATTTATTGAGCAAATCCAAAAAAGTGTCCATGGAAGAAATAAGTTCGCGTTTCATAGGCCAGAGGATTAGGGCTTGGGGGAGGCAGTTGCTCAATATCTCAAGGCCTAAAGCTGTTCTCTGCTTCCTCTCCTGGATAGTTAAAAATCCAGGGGGAGACGAACCATGAGAGACGATGGACTCTGACAAACAATCTGAGGGTTCTAGAGCGGAGGGGGGTGGGAGGATGGGTTAGCCTGGTGATGGGTATTAAGGAGGGCACGTACTGTATGGAGCCCTGGGTGTTATACGCAAACAATGAATCATGGAACACTACATCAAAAACTAATGGTGTAATGTATGGTGATTAACATAACAAAAAAAAATCCAGGAGCTATAGGGAAGCTTTTCCCAGCCTGGAGGATCCTTAGAATAGTGCCACTAAATCTCACATGTTCGGAAATGCAGTCGCTAAATCAGTATCTGGCTTTCCCTTGGCCTCCCTGGCTTTCACAGAATGTCTATTCTGTGCAAGAAATGTCTAAAGAGTTGAAAATTTTGTGTCCTCATACCCGTCACCTTTAAAGACTTTGCTGTAGAGCTCCATACAATCCAGTAGCAAGTACTTCTTAGTACTCTAGTAACTCGTGCGGTAACTCTCACGCACTTAGTACTCCAGTAACTCTCATGAGGTTAACTCTCACGTACTTAATACTCCAGAAACTGGTATTCGGTAACTCTCACACACTTAGTACTCCAGTAACTCATGTGGTAACTCATGTGGTTGGTGGGACTGGAATTGGTCCACCTCATACTGAATTCTGCAAACACGTGGTGGCAAATCTGACCTAATGCTAACATTTAACATTACGAGGAGCAACTCATTTTTCAAGGCACCTGTAAGCATGTGTTGCATTCTGTAGTTGATAAAGCAGTCTTACATCCAGGATCTCATTTAATTCCCACCATGACCCTGTAAGAAAGATGCAGGTATCCTCAGAGAAGTAAAGTCACTGCCTAAGAGGCAGGCTAGACTTCTGCCCCTGTGCTGGGGGCAGGATTGTCCATTGGATTTTAACATCATCTCACTGCAGTAGATGCCCTCTGTTCTTTCAGAAGGAACGTAGGACATCTGCCCAAATACACTTTGACTAAGAAGTAGGTATTGGGTGTCTTGGACCATGGCCAACCCCATGATAGAAAATAGTATGCAGACATGCTGAATTGCCCTGTGAGTGTAGTCCGCAAAACCCCAACTGTGGGGTACTCAACGGTTCCAGAACTCCCCTGGGTTCTTTGGTGGGTAAATTATAAGGAAAAAAAGGTGGAGCAGCGACCTGCGGATTGAAGGAAACTTAAAAGACCTGTCGTTTCTGTAAAATGAACAAGACTAAACCATAGTGTGTGGGCATGCATAGTTAGGTCATTTTTAAATTTTTTTTTCTTACAATTTTTAAAAGTTTTTACTTAAATTCCAGTTACAGTGTAATATTAGTTTCAGGTGCACAATACAGTGATTCAGCATTTCCACACATCACATTGTGCTCATCACAACAAGTGCACTCTTTAATCCCCATCACCTATTTAACCCATCCCCACCCACCTCCCTCTGGTGACCATCAGTTCGTTGTCTATAGTTAAAAGTGTGTTTCTTGGTTTGCCTCCCCTTTAAAATTATTTTTAAAACACAGGAAGTTATTAAAATCAGGATAGCGGTTACTTTTAGGGGGAAGGATGAGACTGTGATTGGGTCAGAGCACATGATAGGTGACTTCTGGTGAGTGGCTAAGTACCGTTTTTTGACTTAGGTTTTTGTAAAAAAAGGTACTTGCCTTATACTTATTTGCTAGGATATAGATTTGTGGGGTTTCCAGATTCTGTGCTTTTATTTTCCAATAAGAAGTTTTTAAAAATTGTATGCAGACCCCAGTGGCTCCAGCTCCATAATTTCTTTCTTTGGTTTGGGAAGGAGGAAAAAGTGATTTGGCTAAAAAGGGAGATTTGAGAATACCATCATGTAACTCGTAGGGAGGGTGCCGGGCCTGTCAGCACTGAGGGGAAAGTTGGAGGCAAGGAAGCCAGTTTCCTGCTGCATGGACAGTTTGGTTTGAGGTGGGCGCCGCTGCTGAGCATGAACGAGGACTCGGGAGGGGTTTGGGGAGCACCTGCTGTGCCTTACGGTGGGCTGGGAGAGGAGGGAATACAGGCCCTGTGGAATCAAGTCCTGCCTTCATAAACCGTCCTATCTGGGCAATCAAGCCAGTGGGGTGAGTCTGCCAACAGTTGCCCCGTGGAAGGGGACAGACAGCCTCCGAAGGTAGAGGTCCGTGGGGCTTCAGGGGCATGCGCACACTGGCGGCCCGCCGTCCGCGTTTGCACGTTCTAGCACGGCCTTTAGTGCCAGGCAAAGAAATGACTTCTCAGTCGTTTGTGACCTCCTCTGCCACCTTGATCTAATTGCTCTGCAAAAGGGGCCTTCTCAGGATGTTGGGAAGACTAATCCGTACTAAAGTGACTAGAGATGCTTTGCTGAGGATCACTGGTAATGTCGAGAGAGGCAGCTTGGTGTTAGGAGCACAGATTCCAGAACCATATAAGCTAAGCTTAAATTCTAGCACCACTACGTGCTGGATGTATGACCCTAGGGAAGTGACTTAATGTCTTTGCGCCTCCCTTCTATTAAAAGGGGATGACAGGTAGAGAAGCTTAAAAAAAAAAAGGATGACAAAACTCTTTTTGTTTTCATGATCAAATGAGTTAACATTTACAAAGGACTTAAAACAGTATTTGCTACTTAGAGCTTTGTGTTTACCAAGTAACATTTTTTTAAAGATTTATTTGAGGGACACCTGGGGGCCTCCGTCGGTTAAGCATCTGCCTTAAGCGTCTGCCTTCAGCTCAGGTCATGATCCCAGGGTCCTGGGATCGAGCCTCGCATTAGGCACCCTGCTCAGCGGGAAGCCTGCTTCTCCCTCTGCCTGCTGCTCCCCCTGGTTGTGCTTTCTCTCTCTCCATCTCTTTCTCTGACAGATAAATATTTACTTGAGTGAGTGAGCGTGGGGGGCAGGGGCAGAGGGAGAGGATCGCAAGCAGACACCCCACTGAGCTCAAGAGCCTGATGTGGGGCCCAATCTCACGACCCTGAGATCATGACCTGAGCCAAAACCAAGAGTCGGAGGCTTAACTGACTGAGCCACCCTAAATAATGTTAATTGTACGTCCTTACAAAGTGCTTTACAGCAGCGCCTACCTGATTCATACCAACAGCTCTATGAGATACTTTATGACAAAGGCTAATAATACGAGATAGTGATATTCATGATTCTATCAATTGGAATCCAGGGTAATGTAGACTCTCCCTATATTACTATGACCTTCGCAAATACCTGCATGCCACAAGCCCATCCTCTGCTGTGTTTGTGCAGCAAGTCAAGCCAGGGACCCTGGACACCTGCTGGGATGTAATTACCCAGCGGGAGGTCAGCCGGGAAACGGAGGTTGACATTTACAGGGTCACCTCATGACATTTACAAGGGAGCAAAGAGAGCTGGTCTCATCTTCCAGGCTTGATCCCTCAGATCCAAAGATGGGTGTAGGGCATCAGAACATGCCAAGGCTAGGGAGGAAGTCTGCCATGCTCCTTCTCTTGGCCTCTGTCGCCCTCTAGACCCAGGGTTTCCAAGCAGGGCCTCCTCCAAGAGGATGTAGGGACAGATGTAACATGTTCCAGAAAATCTCAGACATACCTGGTTCCTATGGGACTCCAGGATCCAGAGTAAGCCTTCTGGAGTGGATAGCCCTGACCCTCATAAATGTGCCTTTCTCCACCTGACTTTGCACCCCCAAATTAGCTTCTTGAAAGAAAGAGACTAGAACTGCCATTTTATCAAGTCACTTACTATGTTTCAGGTCCTGCGCTGGGCACCTAACCTACATTTCCCATTAAATCCCCACGGCCCTAAAGGTGGGTGGTGGTGGTCCCTTTTATTGGTGAGGAAAATGGAGGTTCATAGCGTTCAGTTCTCCCAGGTCTCACGGATTCACATAGCTTACCTGACCTCAAGGAATGCGAAGGTCATTTGTCTGGGCGGCCCCTCTGACTTCCCCTAGAGTGAGCGGCCTGCAGCCCAGGAGGGAAAGCGAAGAGGAAGCTCTGGTGCCCTTTATGCCCTAGTTTCAGAAGTTACACACGATCACTTCCACCATTTTCCAGTTATTGGAAGTGAGTCTCTAAGAACAGCCCACACTCAGAGGGCAAAAGTTAGCTTCCACCTTTTGAAGGTAGGAGTATCCACAACTTTGTGGACATATTTTTCCATCACGGTCACTGTTTGTCACCAGCTCCCGAACACCTGAGTGTGTAGGTGAACCGTAGGCCACATGCCTAGTCCTGGCTCCCAAGGCTGAGGGCCCATGTCTTAATCACCATTGTCACCTTAGAACCAAGCACAGGGCCGGGCACATAGTAGGTACTAAATAAAATAATGAACAAATTGAAAGCCTGAAACAGGTAGATTCTATCAGTTATGGGAATAATGAGTCTAATGATACCTAGACTATCTGGAGCCTGTCCAGGTTTGTCTACTAACCAGCCAAGTGATCTCATGCAAGTAATTTTCACTGGAAGGTGTCTGGATTTGGAAGGGTATCTCTGCCGCCCCTTTGAGCTCTAACTGGCTTGGATAGAGGAGAATGACCGTGAAAAGGATTGGCAGCCCCTGCAAACACAGAAATGTGAACCATCTTCCTGGCCGTGGAGCCGTCACCTCCTGACCGGGGGATCCTCTTCTCTTTCCAGATTGCCCTGCTCCCCAACAGTGCTGCCGACCTGGGCAAGTACATCACGGGCAACAAGATGCTGGCCTCAAACGCCTACCTTCCGGGACCTCCTGGGCTGCCTGGGGGCCAGGGCCCTCCGGGTGAGTGGGGAGGAGAGCAAAGGAGGGGGACAGAGCCACCAGCCACTGCCTGCCGGGAGCTCCCACGAGTGCGGGCTGGACCAGGTCCAGACTGCATGGGTGAGGGCAGCTGCAGGATTCCGGGGAGCTCCCACACCCGTGTCATGAGAGGCTTGGGGGAATTGGGTCCTCGAGCCTGAGAAACCCTCATAACTGGGAGAAATCTGGAAGAAGAAGGTCATTGTCCTGGGCTTGGGTAAGATTCTTAGAGATCATTTTCAGTTACGGAGGAACAAAATGAAGACTTATTTTTAATGTTAACATACAGAAATAGAATTGGGTGAGGAACACATGGGGGCACATCAGCCAGCCGTAACCCCTTGTGGCTAGCCTCATTTCTAATGTTCCTCAGTCTTACTTCCTCCTTCCCCTATTGTTTGTGAACACACTCACATTGGTATTTCTTTATATGTATAGATCTATATATTTTTCTTCGAAGTCAACTTCGCTGAGATACAATTATATACGGTAAAATGTACCCCTTTAATCCAGTTCAAGTTCTGAGGAATGTATACGTCCTACATCAAGCTCGCTCTTACCACTACCCTGTATCAAGATATAGAATATTTCCATCACCCCAAAAAGTTCCCTTGTGCCCCTTTGCAGTCTACTCCCCTGTCCCCAACTGTAGGCAACCACCAACCTGCTTTCTGTCACTACTTTTGTCTGTTCTAGAACTTCAGAGCAATGGAATCTCATCATGGGTGTGGTTTTTGTCTGACTTCCTGCATTCAGCATACTGCTTTAGAGATCCACCCTCATCGCTTGACAAAAATACCAAATGTGCTATTGTTCCATCAAGAAATATATAATGAGAACTTTATTTTTCTTTTTAGCAAATGTTTGCGGGTTTTTTTTTTTAAGATTTTATTTTTATGAGAGAGAGAACGAGAGCACAAGCAGGGGTGTAGCAGGCAGAGAGAGAGGGAGAAGCAGACTCCCCATGAAGCAGGGAGCCCGATGTGGGGCTTGATCCCAGGACACTGGGATCATGACCTGATTTGAAAGCAGACACTTAACCAACTGAGCCATCCAGGTGCCCTACAATGAGAACTTTAAAAAATAGTTACATGATGTTTTATATTTTATTATAAGTCCCTCCATAGATAAGATAGATCAACAGAATCCACACCAGTAAAGGAAATGATATTAGTGTTAGCAGATGATTCTAGAACATGGAGTGTCTTCTCCCTGATTATCATTGCTTAGTAGTGTGCTAGGTGTTATGAATGATGACCTGGCCTTCTAATGACAAAGACAAGACACAAAGAGCAAAGGCAAATGGAAGAAAATGGTATCTGCCTGCCCCTAAGTAAGTGAACAGGTGCTTCCTGCTGTGGGAACTTCCAGGAGAGACCACGGAGGCCTGCAGTGATCCCAGGACTTGGGTTTGAACTGGACATGGAAGAGTGGGAGGGTTTATTCGAGAATATGGGCAGATTTGAGGTTGGAAGTTCAACAAAAACAAAGGCTCCAAATTCCTTCCAGACTATTTATTTGTTTTCTTTTTCACTTATATCTTGATCTCCTGGTTTCTACCAAACATATCAAACTGGGTCTCAGCCTATATAGGGAACAAGAACTGGTCCAGGACCTTGGTTGACCTTGTTCACTCCGTTGGCCTGAGGTACTCTAGCCCATGGTGAAATTTTCTCCAGATCCTCCCACAGGCAGCCTCTTGCTGCTTCTAAGTAGATGTGGGTCTCCTTGCAAATTGATTCCCAGCACAGAGTTCCCCACCCTTCTCTAAGAGTATGTTCTTGCTCTGCTTCCCTGGAAGAAGTTCATCTCTAGGCCAGTCTACAAATCACTCCAACAAGGACAAATAAAGTAGAAACAAGAGTACCATTGGCTGGCTGGCTTCTTAATGAATGACTTGCTAGCTTTCCTTTCCAGTTCTGCCGTCTGGTTTCTAACAGAGTTTGAGCTGTCCAGGGTCCTTGATGGAGCAGAGAGTAACAGAGGACTAACTTTAGCAATGGACTGTGCCCTTACTTTGTCCTCCGATCCTTCCTTTCTCTCTCCTTATTTCCAGCATCGGTTTGTGATATCCTCCATTGAGATGTATTGGGACAGCTTGGAGAGATAAAAAGGTTTCTCTTATCCATAACTAAAAGTCCAGTCCCAGGGCTTACGATGAATCACAGACTAGAGTGTCAGCATGGGAAACTACACTGGGTTCGTGGTGAGGGGGTGGTTGCTGCTCCCCCGACCCCCCTCTCATGTGTAAGATGTTGCCATTCGCACATCAAAGCCCCACATTCTAAGGACACTTGACATACAGTGATCTCTGAAGTTCATTGATTGTGTAAATGAAGGCAAAATTAGGAAAGCCACTATCAAGAAAAGAACAGGTGTTGTGGGGATGTGGAGAAAAGGGGTCCCTTGCACCATGTTGGCAGGAATGCAAACTGGTGCGGCCACTGTGGAAGACAGGATGGAGGTTCCTCAAAAACTTAAAGGTGGAACTAATATGATCCAGCCATCCCACATGTGGGTACAATATCCAAAAGAATCAAAAGTAAGATCTTGAAGAGATGTTTGCATACCTGTACACATGACAATGGTATGCACAATAGCCAAGCTACCTGTGTCCATCCGTGGATAAATGGACAAACAAAAGGTGTATATAGCCGTGGAATATTATTCTGTTGTGTATGTATGTGTATGGATATAGTTATATACATCTATATTTGATACATTAGCTAATGTATATCTACTATATACACACACATTATATAGTATTATGGTACACAATGAAGTAAGCTATTCTCTTACAGAGAAGGGGTGTCGAGATGTTTTTTGAGAACTGTGGTCTACCATGATTATATAAGGATGGAGAATTCTGCTCATGTTAAGTTTAAAATGCCTATGGGGGGGGGGCGCCTGGGTGTCTCAGTCGTTAAGCAACTACCTTTGGCTCAGGTCATGGTCCCAGGGTCCTGGGATTGAGTCCCACATTGGGCTCTCTGCCCCGCAGGAAGGCTGCTTCTCCCTCTCCCACTCCCCCTTGCTTGTGTTCCCTCTCTCACTGTGTCTCTCTGTCAAATAAATAAATAAAATCTTTTAAAAAAATAAAAAATAAAATGCCTATGGGGCATCTTAGTAGAGCTATCAGAAGGCAAATGGCAGATTGCAAAGACAAATGGCTGCAAAGGGCTCCCAGACTCTCTGGTCATCCAGAGCCCTTGTCCTCCTTGTGGGATGTGGAGCTAATGAGCTGTTCTTTGATTACAGGCTCACCAGGACCAAAGGGGAGCCCAGGCTTCCCCGGTATGCCGGGCCCTCCTGGGCAGCCCGGCCCGCGGGGCTCAATGGGACCCATGGGACCATCTCCTGATCTGTCCCACATTAAGCAAGGCCGGAGGGGCCCTGTGGTCAGTATTTTATCGGAGATCCATTTACTATTGTTGGGGGCAGCGTGTGTTCTTGTCCCATGCATTTTCCTTCTGTTGAACTAGATCCCTTTGTCTTGTAGGGTCCGCCAGGTGCACCAGGAAGAGATGGCTCTAAGGTCAGTCTTATGAGTGGTCCTTATAGCCCAAGTTTTCCCAGTTGCAACCTATTGGGCAGGCATCAAGTAAAGCCCAAGCACTGCATCCTCTCCCCACTCTGTACATAACAAAATTGAGACACTCTTTTCCCCCAAGCTGGAAAGAAAATCTAAGATGTAAACAACCATAATAACAACAACAACAAAAAAAAACCCCACCAAAACCACCCCTAAGAATGAGCACCAGTGTGCATTTTAAACAGGCCCCTCTGCAGCAGGGGGTTTTTCTCTTGGGCCAGTGTTCTTCGGCAGGGCTGTGTGGTGTGTCCCCACTCCTTTGACATGTTTACTTCAAGAACAGGAAAAGCTCCAGTCTCTGCGAGTGGGTGCTTTCACTTCCAGAGTTCCCCGCTGCTGCCCCCACAAATAAGTCAGAATGCATTACTTTAGAAAGTTACTTCACAGTTTGCCTGGAAATACAAGCAATGCTCTTGTCTGATCCGGTTTGAAAATACACGGCCCTGGGGAAAATCGGAATGAGAGACACTTGACCCCAGCAGTTCTATTCAAACAAATGGTCCCTTAAGTCCAGCTGCAGGCTTCCATTTGTTTCTGATAGAAAATACTTGTTTGTGTAGGTCAATGGTGATGGTGGGGGTCTACATAGAGCCCAGGGGTGGCTTCCCATGTGGTCCCCCAAGCTAATCTGACCTTTCTGCTTGCAGGGGGAGAGAGGAGCTCCTGGACCCAGAGGGTCACCAGTGAGTAGCACTATCTGCCCCGCTCCCTCGGGGGGAATGTCCTCCGGAGTGTAGCTCTGATGAGCCTGTAAGATGGTCTTACCAGCAACAGCCAGCCCCTTCTAGCCATGACTCAGCTACCCAAGGGGAACTCAGTGGTTTAGAGGAGAATATGGAGGACTTTAAGAGCTAATTGGGATTGATTTTTTTTTCTTTTGTCATGGCAAGTCTTTATGTGGGAGGTCTTAAGATTAAAAAAAGCCAGTATGCCATGAGTCTATTTCCAGGTATGTCCTAAAACATCCAACAGGGCTGTCATAACTCTGAACACTTAAGAGTTTAGCCAGCACTGCAACTCTAGCAGGTCCAATGAGCAGGCCTATCCCCAAAACCCCGCAGACACACGCATGGCTACTTAGGACCGCCGAGAATACATTGGCTTGGATATATGTTAGTGTCTGGGAGACTAAAAAATGAAAATTAGTAGTATCCAAAGCACAGAAGAGTCAAGCAAGTCCATTGCTTTGGAAAAGATCGGTGTCATTTCTGAAGACCGACAGACAGCCTCGGCTTGGATGCAGGAGGTCTGGGTTCTCATCTCAACCCTTCCACCGATTAGCTGTCTTGTCCTGGCCATCCTTAGCACCCCCGGATGTCTGTCCGTCTGCTCATTTGTGCAACGGCAAGCGGGATCTGAGCTGCCACTCTTCAAATGAGCATCAGTGACTATCAAAATACTCTCCACCACTAAGGGCTTTGCAGTTGGAGTTTTGGAAGCGGCAGCTACAGCATCAGAGGCTGGGCATGATAAGGATGTTACTGCAAAGCCGCGAACGAGCCCAAACCTTGCCAGTTCACACATTAATTTGACATGCCCCACACAGCGCCACAGAGAAGTTAAAGCTTAACAAATACTATGCAATGATAGAAAATGTTCAGTCCATAGAAGAATGAGGAAGGCCTTGGACTTTTCCCAGTCAATGGGGCACGGATGTCTTTACAACATTCTTTCAACTGCATTCAGGTCACAGTTATAGTCAATGATCCTTATAAATGTTTTAGTCATTTCCTTTTTTAAAAGATAATATTTAGAGCATTTTTGTTACTCTAAGCCCTTTATATATATAAACTCATTTGGATCCTCACTTATGAAACCCTATGATGTTGAGGCTATTATTATCTCCAGATAGAGAGATGGAAACCCAAAGAAATTGAGTAACCTGCCCAAGACCAGCTAGTAAGTGACAGAGCTGAGATTCAAACCCAACAGAATCCCAACCTCTTGACCACTACTCTACACTACCCCGTTTTCTTTGGAAAGTAACATAGGAGGGTTCTTCTCAGATTCTTTCATTCTACCAGATTTGACGTAGCTGAGAATTGGGAGGGAGGAGAGAGAATGTGTCACCACAGCTCATACGGGAGATGAATTAGGAGGCAATCTTAAGAACGCTCCCCCACCCCCACCCCTCCAGCCGCCAGCTACTATAGTAGTTGTTTACTCCATTTGGGACACAGAGTTATCAACTAAGTAGTTGCCATCAAGCAGGGGGAATAGCAAATCATGGAGCCTATAGAAGCCATGGCTTTGCACAGGATTGAGTCTGTGGTCTTCTGGCTTTGATTCCTCTCCTGTGCGCAGGGACCCCCTGGGTCTTTCGACTTCCTGCTCCTTGTGCTGGCTGACATCCGCAATGACATCGCCGAGCTGCAGGAGAAGGTGTTTGGGCACCGGACACACTCTTCAGCAGAGGAGTTCCCTTTACCTCAGGAATTTTCCAGCTATCCGGAAACCATGGATTTTGGCTCTGGAGATGAGTACCCAAAAAGAACCGAGATGAGGGACTTGGGACCCACAAGAGACTTTTACCCTTAGCACATCCCATCATCATCATGCCAAAGGAGGAGAAAAGAGTGTTTTCACCTGCAGTTAAATCATATACAGAGAAAGAAAAAAAAAAAAACAACCCAACCCACTGGAGACCTAGAAAAGATACATCTTTAATTTCTTTCACTCTTTTCCTGCCTTTTTCCCTCCTGCTCTTCTTCTAAATAATATTTTCAGAGTCCCCTGCCAGAGACATGAGGGAGTAAGTCACTCATTTACCTGCTTCCCTCCAAGAGCCAGCTGGGGGCGGGGGGGGGGGGGGTGGTACATATTGGAACTTTCCTTTTACTTCCTTCTTGTTCACGAGTTTCTGGATTTCTGAGTTAGGTACTCTCATGGTGTCTTAAAGTTTAGCAGAATATCCAAAAGGGAAAGGTGGCAAGGTGAACTCTGAGAAGACATGAGGTTACTTATTAAAAAAAAAAAAAAATAGTTATGTGTCCAAAATAGACTATTACTCAGTATTAAAATTAGCCTTCTTTAATTAAAAGGGGGAAGACAACAATGTATGTTTACCTTGGTGGATAATTCTTTTTCCTTGTCAATCTAATATATTTTAAATATTCTATCTTCTTATCCAACCTTGTTTCCCAATTTTGATTAAAGGAAGGAGGGAAATAAGGAGCAGAGATTAGGGAAGATGGAGGAAAATTATAGTTCCTCTATATTTCCTGTCCTATGAGTTGCCACATTCTAAATTCCAGTATGACTATTAAGGGTTTGTGCCATGCATATCTGTAAGTTTCCTCTTCAGAGAAGATTATTACTCTAGCTGTAGGAGTAAATCCTCTTCTCAAAACAAAGTAAATGAATGAAGTGCCCAGATTCTCATTAGAATAATGGGCTCCTGGTTTGCCAAGACATTTTAAAGCTATTTGATCAAATGAATGGGCTTGCTCAGTAAATCACGGATTGTTAAATAAGGGTGGCCGACCCTTAGGGACCCCCGCTGAGTGGCCTGACTCTGGGTGCCCGGGAGAGGCCGTTACACTGTGATCCTAGTTAGATCAGTGTGCACTGATCTAGCTGGAGGCTGGAAGGAGGTGGCTCGCTTGGGTCACTGGGGAGGGAGGAGGGGAGCCTCAGGCAGGGTCCCCACAGAATCGGCAGAGGCAAGTCAATTTGCACTCCTTGGGAATTGGAAGTCCTTGTCTGGGGCCAGCGAAGCTTGCCAATCCAGAAAGTAACACACTTTTGGACATCCTCTTGCATGCAGAGCGAAGAAATAACAGTTTTTCTTGTTTGGCAGACATTTCCTTCCCACTATTCCCATTTTTCCTTAATTTTCCATCATTTAGTCCAAGTTCTAGTTCTCACAGGCCTTCTCCTTGATCCGCCTTCCTCAGCAGATGTGGGAAGCAGCTGGGAAAGGGGTGTATTCTCAAACCTGCCAGTGAGTCTGTGGTCGTCCATACACCTCTGGGTCCCAGAGGGAGGCGTATTCCAGAAAAGACTTCCTCTGGTTCCTTAGAAATAGGAGCAAGAGAAACCCTGAAGAGACCAGCAGGAGCATCATCTGCTCCTTTGGAATATCATCGGGGAACCTCTTGGTTTTGATGGGGAGCACATCGTTTTCCTCAAGTCCCCATTTGATCTGCCACCCAGAAAGGCAGCCACCTGTTCGGGGGCCCTTTCTCCCCCTATACTGAGGGTCACAGATGATGCTGGTCACACACTTGCTCATGGTGGGGTTCCTCTTCCCTGCCCTGCGATTTCTCCCCACATTTCTGGGAGGTGTGTGTTCTTGCCTCTCTTTTTCCTTGTTGCCCTTCATTGAACTCTCCTCCTAGGAAAGCTTGTTGACGAGAGCACTGTTGGTGTGCGGACACCCGCCTCCTTGCCACCTTCTCTCTCCAGAACGCTAGGAAGGGCTCCCGTTTGTGGGTCTCCCGCGACAATGACCTGCCCTGCCTTGTTGCCATCAGGGTACAAGTACTGACTCCAGTCAGTCAGCCACTGCCTGGGCTTTTCGTTTCTTCCTCTTGCACAGTTCCCGGTACCAGCCCGCCAAAAGGTCACAGCAACAAGCAAATGCATTCTCAGTGCTCCTTTTCTAGCATTTTCCCTCTCCCTTCAGTCTCTCCAGAGTCTGATCTCCACAGCCGGAGGCCTCGCCAACCTCGGGTTCACCGAGAGCTGAGCTAAGCAGCTGTTGATTCCCATCTGGAACGCATTTAATGCTGCCTGTTCGCAGAGCACAGTATTTAAAGGGTGTGGATGGATGGGTGCCAAAGCAAATTATTCACAGGTCTTATGAAAGATGATTAGGTCCATCTTTGATTTTTTTTTTTAATGAGGATTTGTGTTTAGAAATACAAACTTCTTTATTGTCAAATTCTAAAATGCAACCAAAACTGCATGTTTGACCAGAGGCTAGGATAATATATATTAAAAAAGGAACTGAAGGAAGCAATATCTGGCATTCATGAGCCTACTCTACATCCTCTTCTCCAGCAAATCACACAAGAACCTGTAGAACTTCAATCTGCTAGATGAGGGCAGTTTATAGTTGTTCATCCTCAGATTTTCAAAACTTGGACTGCTATTCAGGACCAAATAGGTACTCTGTATGCCCAAATTATACTGTTCAAAGATAAGACACAATACTGTTACTCCTAATGTATCTTTAGGTTATGGATAGAACGTCAAAGCTCATTGGCTAAACAGGGCTTCTCAAAACCTAATGGGGGATAACATTTGCTACAGCTTTGCTAAGCCACTCCGTGTTTTATGGGGGAGAAGAGATCTTTGTAGAAATGTTGACTTTTCATTTTTTGCATTGCGTCCTGATAACTAGAATTTAGAATAGGAACCTAATCATTGCTTTTGTTTTTGGAAAGCTGTGGGAATAAAAATAGGCTGTTGAAAATAGTGCAAGGAGAGCATACATTTTAGTTGAGGAAAATCCTCCTCCCTCCCCAGTTCCAGAAGGAGAAATTATAAGCTTTATTATGCCGAGGTGGGGGGGGGGTGGTACAAAGGCAAAGCTGCCTTCTCTGTCCTGGGTTTATGCCGCCATCCGCCACTGAGTGAACTGACCAACTGAAGTCATCTCTGCTGTATAAACTCAGGCAGGGGTCCATATGCACACTGGCACACCAAATACCAGGTGAAGGGCACCCCAGTCCTGGTCCTGCTCCCTCTCCAGGATTCACAACTACTCTTTGCCTTGTGATGGCTTTTCCCAGGCAGGCAGGGGCAGATTGTCGCTGTGACTAGGCGCCAGGCACCTCCTTGCACCGAGGGCAAGTCCCTCATCACATTTTGGGTATCACTGCCCCTCCCACTCCCCAAGGCCGGCCTGTCACACACAGACAGGAGCCTCATTGTGCAACCTTGACATCTCTCAGATAACCTTCCTGAAAGGGAAATTTATTTGTAGGAATCCAGGCCAAACAGCTAATAGAATAGAGCCATCTCAAGTTGTTGTTAATGAATTCAGGGAAATAGATGAAGTTTTTCCTGGCATGGTCAGCATGTGTATTTCCCAACAAATCAAAAAATAATTTTCCATATGAAGGGAAAAAAAAACCCTCATGACTGTAATTGTTAAAGCATAAAATCTTGGACTTCACAGGCTCCTTCAAAAAATATTACTGCTTTAGGGAAAGTCTAGAAGACAGACCCTTCTACACATCCCCCAGAGACCCTCAGCATTCTTTATGAGATCCTAAGAGCACGTGCCCTGGAGGATTGTGTGTGTGTCACGACTTTTTTTATTTCGCAGTGACTAGTCCTATACTTCAGTAGCTGGGTTCATTATTTATAACAGGTCCATATTACAGTTGAGCTAATATTCAAACAGTTATGGATGTGATACTATGAAGTACTTTTGATAAGATTATATATGCTTAATAAAGTTATTTTTCTTATGTGGTTGTGCTGTGTTTTGTCCTGATTCCTGATCTTGGGGAATGAGCTGTCTTCTTACAAGGTGAAGACAAGGAGATGGAGACATTTCTCCCAAGAGCTGGAACCTGCACTCTGGGGAGGCTCCCTCCTGGGGTCTGAGTGTGGACCCAACATTAGAGTCTGAGTCAAGGTCTAACGGCCCAGGTTCCACTGAATCTGCGTCTCAAAGGCCCGTGTCTCCAGCTGGGGAGGATCCTCGGGGACACCCCCCCGCCCCTGCCGGGGTGGGCTTTTCAAATCAGAACTCTCTGGGGATCATTGGAGAGGCCTTAGGAGCTCACAAAATGGAGGCCTGTGAGGGTCCCGCCCCCTAGTCCTATTGAAGTACGAGCGACTCCGTTTTCAGTTGGTTCTGGATTAGAATTCCACATAAGGTTGCCTTTGGAGGAGAAACTACCTAAAAGAGAGGGTGGGGAGGAAGCCCCTTGAGTTGGTAGCTGAGGTCCCCTATGTGAGGACAAGAAAAAGGGAATTGTCATCAGGTAGGCTTTAGGGGAGGAGGAGTTCCGTACTAAAAAGGGAGGATGCCTCTATGAGATTTGTAGCACTCATTAGCAGGGTGCCTTTAACATGCCGAAGCTGGCCTGTATTTATACGTCTCATTTTCCTTCTGCAAATATTTATCAAACGCTTGTAAGCTGCACGCTGTGCTGGGCTCTGCAGACACAACAGGCAGCGAGAAGCCCTAATCCCCATCCTCCTGGGAATCTCTGGCAACACAGACAAGGATCCTCCCAGGCAAGATCAATTAATCACGAAACTATGCAGTCACAAACTGTGATAAGCCCTGGGAAGAAGTGCTTGGAGAGCCAGGCCCAGCCCTTGCCAGCAGGAGCCGCCCGGCACTCCCTGCCCCCCCACCCCCCAGAGTGGCAGGCGGCACCCAGCAGCACCCAAGCCTCCAGCCCTCGCGGAGAAAAGCTTCACGAATCCTCTAGGGGAAGGAAGCCCAGGGAGATCTGGGAGGCTGCTTCATATGTGATCTCTCCAGCCTTCTTAATTTAAACAGCAGCTCGCGACCTGAGCTGACAGCCCATCCGTGCCGTTGGCTGGTCACCCCCTGCACTCGGGTCTTGATTCTGGCAGAACTGGAAGCTAGTTGCCTCCCGAGACCCGGACCCTCAAGTTGTGAAGAAGCTTGCTGTGCTTTTGAAATACTGCCTCCGCCCCAGCTCCGTGTGCAGATTTTCATCACCTGTTCACGCGCAGCTCCAGGGTCACAGGGTGGCCAGGTGGGCACCTGCACTCAGCAGCTGGGGGGCTGGGGTGGGCACAGGGAAAGGCACCTTTTTGTGAGGGGGTGTGGGGGCCGCCACAGTTGAACGGCAGGGTTCTGGGTTGCTGGTGGAGACGGGAGGCGGGGAGGTGGTCAGTTCCTCCGGATGCCGAAGCAGGGCAGCGCCCCTGGTGGGCTCTTCTCGCCCTCCTGGAGGCTGGCCTTCGAAGAGGTGTTGGCACGGTCAGTACCTCCTGGAGGCTGTGCCAGACGGGCCAGGCCGTGCGCACCATCCAATGGCCTCATCTCAATTATATCAGCAAAGACCCTAACTCCAAATAAGGTCATGTTCTCCAGTGCCAGGTACACATGAACTTTGGGGAGTGGGGAGGAATACCGCTCAACCGAGTACAAGAAGGAAGTTTTCAACCTAATCTTTGGCTTTTATCACCCTGCTTATTTCCTTTAATAGCATCTTTTCAAATCTGAAATTCTTGCCCACTTCGATAAAAATTTATTGAGGGCCAAGGATAGAGTAGTGACAAAAGTCCTTGTTCTCGTGGAGATGCCTTTTGGTCCAGGCAGACAAACGGATGATAGATGTTAGTCCAGGTTCTCCAGAGAAACCGAACCAATAGGATGAATATGTGTGTAGAGATGTTGATTGTGTGTGTGTGTGTCTGTGTGTGCGCACATGTATAAAACTATAAATGTGTATGTATTTACACAGAGTTACTTTAAGACTCGGCTTATGTGACTGGCAGGCTGGAGACTCCAGGAAGAGTTGGTGTTGCAATTCGAGCCCAAAGGCAGTCTGCTAGCTGAATTCCTTCTTTGGGGTAGGTCAGTGTTTTTCTGTTAAGGCCTTCAACTGATTGGATGAGGCCCGCCCACATTATGGAGAACAATCTGCTTTGTGCAGTCTACCCATTTACATGTTAATCTCATCTAAAAAAAAAAAAAATTGCAGCAACCATCTAAGATAATGTTTGACCAAGTATCTGGGTCCTGGGGCCTTGACAAGTAGACACATAAAATCTACCATTACAAGGTCTGACTATGTTAGAAAGAGCTATGGGGGAAATTAAAGTAGGGTAGAGGAATAGAGAGTGGTGGAGGGTAGGAAGCTATACTTTAGATGTGATATTCTGGAAAGACCTCACCAACAAAGGGGTTGTGAGCAGAGACCTGAATGAAGGGAGAGGTGAGCCATAGGGAGATGTTGGGGGGAAATGATCCACACAGAGATTTGAGTGAGACCCTGAGGCGGACCTACCTGGTGTGTTCAAAAAGTACCAATGAGCTCACTGTGGGTGGAACAAAATACACAAGACGGCAAGTGGTAGGAAATGCCTCGGAGAGGTAACCACAGTCCGGGTAGAACCTTAAGGCCCTCTGTTAGGACTCAGTATTTCCTTCTGGACCCGTGGAGGGTTCTGGAAGAGGCAAGGATGGAAGAAGGGAAACTCACTGGGAGGCTGTAGAAGCAAGCACCTTGTTTCTTGACTGTCTCTCTGAGAACTTGCTGCTGGTCTGTTGTCTGCTTCCTTGAGAGACTGGAAACCCCTCAGGGGCAGGAACTTTCTCTTTCTCTCGACTGAATTCCCAGCATCTCCCACTGTGCCCAGTATATGGTGGGAGTCCAATCAATATTTTTTATAGTGAATTTGATAGAATTCACACATTTTGTCTTCACAAAACCCTACAGGGTGGGTACTTTTATTGTCCCTATTGTATGCATCCACTTCAAGGTAAAATAACTTGCCCAAGGTCACAAAGCTAAAACATTCATAACAACCAGAAGCATATTTCAAAGCAAACATCAATTCACTGTCAGCTTAACCCTGTAGGATCCACACAGCTCAGCCACCCAGCCTCACATTCTCCCCCCATGTTGGACTCACACCTGACTTCACAGGAGAGGCCTCTGTGGTACAGAAGGCCAGGGGCTGCATGTTAATCTGTGCTGGACTGACTACCTTTCTGACCTTTTGATGTGAGGTGACTGGCAAAGGCACACAGTGAGACTATATACATATGATATATTTTCAAGGAAATGATGAAAGGATAATGAAGTTATTATGGTTAGTGCTAGATATGGCCCAAAGAAAACTAGGAGTCACGACTCAAAAATTATGTATAATAGATTAATACTTTAATAAAAAGAAACACGCTGTTGGGGCGTCTGGGTGGCTCAGATGATTGAGCGTCTGCCTTCGGCTCAGGTCATGATCCCAGGGTCCTGGGATCGAGCCCCTCATCGGGCTCCTGACTCAGCGGGGAGTCTGCTTCTCCCTCTCCCTCTGCCTCTCCCCCTGCTCATGCTCTCTCTCTCTCTGTACCACTGTCTCAAATGAATAAATAAAATCTTTAAAAAAAAAAAAAACAACGCTGTTGTTCAGGAGATTTTTTTCTAGAAGGAATATATCCAATGAGTCCTTATTAAATAGTCACCCATCAACACACATAACCATTTCTTGTAAAAGTTCATGGTAAAAGGGAACATAAAAAAGCATGTTTCCATTCAGGTATATCTACAGAGAGGGTAAGTTACTGAGCTGCAGATATCTGTCTGGTGCATGAACCCGATGGAAAGGTAAAGCTTAGACTGCGCAGGTAGCCAGCCAGACCGTGAGACCAATGGTTTCCACATGCTTTTGATGATGACCCACTGGGGTGAGGGAGGGGAGGCACCACACATTTTACACAATGGCCCAATATTTATAATTGGAACAAGTTTCATGGTATTTACCCCTCCTACGTATGATACACTCTTGTATGTTCTCTATAGGATGTCTTTTTCCTTTTTTTAAATCCTGGTCACAATCACGAAGTTGATTCCATGACTTACTAATAGGTGGCAGCCCACAGTTGGAAACCCACTTACTTAACCAGTGCTTCTCAAATGGGACTGTGCATAAGAATCATTTGGGGAGGGGCGCCTGGGTGGCTCAGTCGTTAAGCGTCTGCCTTTGGCTCAGGTCATGGTCCCGGGGTCCTGGGATTGAGCCCCGCATCGGGCTCCCTGCTCAGCGGGAAGCCTGCTTCTCCCTCTCCCACTCCCCCTGCTTGTGTTCCTGCTCTCGCTCTCTCTTTGTCAAATAAATAAATAAAATCTTTAAAAAAAAAAAAAATCATTTGGGGACTTTATGAAAATGAGCGTTCTTGTTCAGCGCACGTGGGCAATGCGGAGTCTGAATTTGCGTTCTGACACCCTCCCGGGGCCCGGGGTGGGGGGGGGGGTTAGTCACTGCTGCTGATTCGTGAACCGCACCGCGACTAACAAAGACTCTCATTTGTCACACGGGAGTACCTGCTCAACTTTGGATGGGAGCAGGAGAGAATCAGATTCACTAAGAACTCCAACAAGAATCGGGAATGCAAATATGGCTCTTAGAGATCAATTGTCCAATCCTTTGTGCCTGATACTTTTCAAATACACATAGATGTGGTTTCCCTGGAAACTGACATAGCATCAATAAAGCTTATCTCTGCATTAACAGTTTATCAGGAATCGAGTCAATGGCCAGCTGAGGGGGAAAGAAAACATCTGGAGGGAGGAAGGGGACGCCCCTGGAAGAGAATATGGGAAGGCAGCAGACACAAGCTTTGCCCATTTTATTGCCTCTCTCCCTCCATGGGCCCTGGCCTTGACAAAGGTTGCTAATATTGGTAGGCTGGTTCCCAAACATGGGAGGGAAATAATGAAGTCCATACAGCTCGTCAATCCAGTTAAGTGTGATT